AGGAAGAGGAGGTGCAGGCCAGTGCAGCTGGGGCCCTCATGTACGTCACAGTGACCACCAAAGGTGAGGCTGCCTGCTGGCTGGGCGTCGGCGCCTTTGGGGTGGGGGGTCACCGCAGCCCCCTAGCAAGCTGAGTACTGCCCCTCCCTGGTCCCAGGCTCCGCCCTCTCCTTCCAGGCCACAGAGGGCCCACCACCTGGGGCCCCTCCCTGTTATTCCCTCTGTTCCCTGGTTTTGGAATTCTTGCATCTGACCCAGGCCTCTTGTGAGCCGAAATTCTGGGATTGATTCGTTTGCCACCCATGAGTCCATTATGCTGAGGTCTAAGCAAAAACTGGAGCCCTTGCTTCTGCTGTGTTTCTTGATCAATGTTACTTTTCTCAGTGTGGAGGGGGCGCATAGGAGCGTAAGGCTACCTCCCCCATGCGGACTCCCAGCAGCCAGGCTTCCATGCTCAGTCACCTGACCTGGGCGGTAGGAAGGGCCTGGGCTGGTTTCCCCACCTGGAGGATAGGGTCCCCGCAGGACCTCTGACCTTCCCTTGCCTGTGCCAGCTGTCTGACCTTCCCTTGCCTGTGCCAGCCCCACGCCCTGAGCTTCCTTGCTGATCCACGGAGAACTAACTACCTGGGCCTCTGATTCTCAATCAGCAGTCTGCAGATCCCCCCCAGAGCTGGGACTCCTTGCCACTCCCCAGTTCGTCCTGATGGTGAAATCTGAGATGCGTCAGGGGGAGAGGTTGGGGCCTTCCCAGAGTCCACAGCCCCCTTCTGACTGATCGTGCAGTCAGGGTGCCGACCCCCAGTGTGGGGCTCCCCATGAGCGTGGATCTCGCGGGCGTCCTCAGTGCAGTCAGTGTCTTACCTGGGCTTCCTGTAGGAATGCTTGGAGGGCTGGGGGGCTCTCATGGGGCCCGGACAACATGGGAATTTGGGGGAGATGTGGTCACTTCCCTGAGCTAGCACTCTAGCCGAGGAGCCCTGAGCCCCTGCCACAGGCCAGGCTCTGTGCTGGGCGATGGGGACCCAGACGTCTCAGCCTCTGCTGTCTGAGGTTGGCAGGGGCGGCAGAGTGAAGAGTAACCTGGGGGAGACGGTGGGCACAGTATGGGGGCAGAGCATCCTCTGAGAGGGGAGCTAGCAGGGCAAAAGGGGCTGGACGGTCTGGCAGCAAAGAGCAGAGTGCTCGGTGTAGGAGGGTTGGGGGCAGGGGGCGGCAGCGTGGCATTTCAGCGGGTGAGGGGGTGGGCAGCAAGTAAGGATTAAGGAGGGGCGTCTCCCCTTCTCATTCGATTGGATTTTAATTTTCAAAAGACCCCTCATGCTGCCTTGAGAGGACTGGGTTGCGAGACAGGTACCTGGTGGTTGGGGAGAAGCCAGCTGGGGAGCTTGTGGGGCCCAGGCTGGGGGCAGGGAGGGTGTGGAGCCTGCGTTGGGAGGGCTGGGGGGCGAGGGAGGTGGGCAGGGAACCCCAGGAATGCCTGGCATTGGTGCCCTGCAGGGAAGTACGTGGCCCTGGACACGGAGGCCATCCGTCCGCTGCTGGAGCTACTGCACTCATCCTTGAGCAAGGCGCGCCTCAATGCCATCAAGGTCCTCACCATGCTGGCCGAGGCTCCCGAGGGCCGCAAGATCCTGCAGTCCCACGTGCCCACCTTCCGGGCCCTCGAGGAGGACACCAGCGCGGCTGTGCAGCGGGCAGCCCAGATCGCCGTCAAAGTCATTGAGTGGAAACCCTGAGCCTCTTACCGGCCCCACCTGCTGACCCCATGACTGAATAAATGCGCTGAATCTCTTTATCTTGGTCTGAATGGCACCTGACGTTTCTGGGGCAGGTCACGGCTCTTCTCTCTCCTGCCAAAGGGGAAATGCCTGGCCCAGAAGGACAGGGTCACAGGCTGAACCCCGGGTCCAGGGCCGGGTGCGAGGCATCCCTGCTGTCTGCTGTGGTCGAGTCCCCTGGGAAAGCACAGAGCAGGGCCAAGCATCTAGGGACAAGGTGGGGGCAGGGAGCTGGGTGGGGGAAGGAACAGCTGGTCCAGACAGCACTGCCTGAGCCGGATGCTCAGTGAATAGGCCCATGGGGTGTGGCTGGGTGTGGCCCTGCTCACCAGGTCTGCCCCTCCCCACGTGGGGCGACAGGAAGGAAGGTCACAGGTGCAACCCCAAGTGGGCTCTTGCTGGAGGAGGGTGAGTTGTAAGAGGCCCCCCCCACCCCCACCCTCACCCCAGGGATGAGAGCTCAGAACAGGGCAGCTCCTTAAGGTCTTCCCCCCAAACAGCTGTGTTCTCCAAAGCCAAGTCACCTTCGTAAGCTCGGGCTGGCCTGAGGCCGACCTCCCCCCCGCAGCCCTCCCCCTGTTGTCTGCCAGGCCTCCCTCCAGAGAGCTCCCACCTGTGCCTCCACCTGCCTTGCTTCTCCCGCAGCGAAACTGGCTAAGAGGCTGGAGAGCCCTGGGGGTGGGGTGCGGGGGGTTGGAGGGGTGGAGAAGCCAGGTTGCAGGGGGAGGAGGCATGGGGACTCCCTGATCTCCCCGACCCAACCTGTCCGGTGATCTGGCAGGGTTCTGACCTCTGTTGGAGAAGCTGTAGGAGCGGCTCAGCTTCAGGGCTGGCCTCGTTTGGGCTGAGCCGAAGCCTTAATCTCCCCCATGAGCTTTCCGAGGCTCCCTGCCTCACACCAGGTTTCCCTTGTTACATCACCAACCAGCAGCCACACTTCCTGAGGGACAGAACCTCCCAGAATACACGCTACCTGCAGAGCTAGAATCCCCAGCTGAGTGCCTTCTTATAGTCCTTCCAGTGCCTGGGGCCTTCACTTTCCTAGCAGAAACACAGAGACACTTGCATCCTGGGATTCCAGGATTAGCCCAAGCAGCCCCTCTTGTACTGGGAGGGACCTGCTGCCAGGCCCAGCTGGGGTTTCAGGTTAAATCTCATTCTCAAAAAAGGCCCTGTAAGAGGAAACCTTTCCTCCTTCAGGAAAACAGGGGCTTGAGGGTCTCCACTTCCTCATCCTGCCTCAACCATAGCACGCTGGCTCCACCCTTACCACCTCCTTGAAGGGCTCTGGACTTCTTGCTGCCAAGTTCCTGTGCTCTTTGTGCTTGGCCCGAGCAGTAACCCAGGTGCCAGTGCTCCCTTCCTGTGGCGGCTGTCTTGGTGCTCCTCCCAGGGCCCTGGTTGTGCCCTCTTAGTCTCCTCTGCAGAAAGAACCCTCTTTCTTAACCTGACATCTCTGTTTGCTCTCCTGCACAATCTCATCTGCCTGACTTGGGCTTCCTCTACCAGGTTCACTTCTTAGCTAGGCTGGTCCACTGTCTTCTCTCCCCTCAGTCTGAGTCTCTAGCGCCAGCCTCTCTGCTGTGTTCTGGACCTTCCATCCAACTTAATACTTACCCTTAAATGTCTCCAGGCAAAAATTAATACCAGTCCTTCACAAACTAATTTAAAAAAATAGAAGAGGGGACAATTCCCAATTCATTCCATGAAGACAGTATTACCCTGATACCCAAACCAGACAAAGACCTCATAAAGAAAGAAAACTATTGACCTCTATGAATATAGACACAAGAACTCAACCAAATATTAGCAAACCAAATCCAGCCACATGAGAAAATCATTATACACCATGACCGACTGTAAGTTATCCCAGGAATGCAAGGTTGGTTTAACACGTGAAAATGAATCAATGTAACGTGTAAGGAAAGAACAGAAACCACATGATCATCTTAATAGATGCAAAAAAAGCACTTGACAAAATCCAACACCCATTCATAAAAAAAACCCCAAACTAAAACAAAATCAAAAACTCTCAGCAAAATAGGAAAGAGCGGCATTTCCTCAACATGATAACATCTGCAAAAACTCACCGCTAACATCATACTCAACGATGAGGAGACTGGATGCTTTCCCTCTAAGATCGGGAATAAGACAAGGATGCCTGCACTCACTACTTCTACTTGACATTCTACTGGAGGTTCTAGCCAGGGCAGTTTAGGCAAGATAATGAAATAAAAGGCACCCAGGTTGGAAAGAAAGAAGTACACTATTTCTACTTGCACACTACATGATTTTATATATGAAAAATCCCAAGGAAGACACTTAAAAAATATTAGAACTAATAAACGAGTTCAGCAAAGTTGCAGGATTTTCTGTACATAAGCAATGAACAATCTGAAAATGCAATTAAGAAAAGGGCTAGGGGACTAAGAGGTAGAAACTCTTATGTATAAAATAAATAAGCTACAAGGATATATTGTACAACAGGAAATATAACCAATATTTTAAAATAACTATAAATGGAGTATGACCTTTAAAAATTGTGAATCACTATGTTGTACACCTGTAACTTATATAATATTGTACATCAACTATAACTCAATTAGAAAAAAAAACACCTCATTTACAGTAGCATCAAAAAGAATAAAATACCCAGGAATCAATTTAACAAAAGAAGTGCAAAACTTGAGTGCTGAAAACAAAACACTGTTGAAAGAAATTAGAAGACCTAAATAAATGGAAGGACATCCCACGTTCATGAAGCAGAGGACTTAACATTGTCAAGACGGCAATAAGTATCTTCATGCAACTCAAACTCCACATGTCCCAAACGGTGCTCCACTTTTCTCCTGCACCTGCTCTCTTCCAGTGTGGCCTGTCTTTGGAATTGGTACACCCTCTGCCCACATGTTCAAGCCAGAGAGTCACCCCTGGGCCCTCCCTCCAGAAGTCTAGTACTTGAGTCCTGTTACTTCTAATTGCTGGCTTCTCTTGATGCTGTTCCCTTGTCTTTTCTTTTTTGCTGCTAACTTGCCTGGATTCCTCTAATAGCCTCCTGGTGGGTGTTCCTGCCGCCTTTCATCTTCCAGCAGCGGCCAGCAAATCTGATCCCATCCCTTCCTGGCTGAAGTTCCCAGGGACTCAGGATCCCAAAGCACCTGAGGCCTGCAGGTCCAGCCCCTGCCCACCCTGCCCTCCCCACCTCCCACAGTTCTGCACTCTGGCCTCCTCACACCCTTGCCTCACCCTGTCTTCCCACATGTTGTCCCTCTGTTATCCAGCTAGCTGACCTCCCACTTCAGTCACGGGAGGCCTCCTCCCTGTGGGCGCTCCTGCCACGTGCACATGCACAGAGGGCCCATTTACTTGGTCCCCTGGCTGAGCTCAGTCTCCTCCTCTGTGAAATGTGGTTCTGGTCCTTCCACATGGGGTGGCTCCATGGCTTGAACGTGATGATAACCTGGGCAGGGAAATAGCGGGCCACATGAGGTGCTGGCCATCACCGCTCGTGTTTCATTGTCTACTTCCCTGGACCATGAGCTCTGTCCATGACTGCTTCCCAGCAGTGCTGGCACATAGCAGGCACTCAAAAATGTCAGCTGAAAGACTAAACGAGGGATGGGGGCCTGGTCCCGACTGCACCTTCAGAGTGTGACTTTTGCAATGTTGGGTGGGCCTCCCCCAAATCACTTCAAGGCATCTGAAACTTTTTCTAAAGACCCAAATCATTTATTTTGGTCTAAGAAGAAGGAAGAGGAAGGGGTGGCTTAGGGAGCCTCTCCCAGAGACACAGCCCAGGACTGGTCTATACTTGACAGCTAAAGGGGATCCAGCCCCTGGGCCCAACTCCCAGTAGCAGGCAGACTGGGAGGAACTGGGAGGAGCTCAACAAGGAGGGAAGTTTCCTCTCCACCTGCCCTTTAGGGGAGCAGCCAGAGCTGAGCCACAGGGAGGCCTGGTCCTCAGGCAGAGACCGCCTCAGCCCCACCACGGGTCCAGGCAGGAGCCAACGTTTCCATCCGCGGCAGCCTTGGCGCCAGCTGGCCTGTGTGGTCATTGGCAGTAGGCACAGCCCCTTGTGGGTGGGACCCTTGGCGCGAGGAGGAGCATCTTTGCCAGCAGCCATACCTTTACAAAGGAGGAGAGAACACAGCAAACAGAGGTGGGTATAGGAAGGAAATGGTGACAGTAAACACAAGCAAAACCCCCAAATATATCTAGAGATAAAAAGCCAAAATTAAATTTAAAGTGAAAGCCAGTGTTTGTGCAGTGGGGCCATCTGGGGAGAATGACTCATCGCACAGAGGACAGACGTGCTCATCTTCGGTCTCTGCCCTCACCAGTGGGCTTCGCCGCCCGTCAGCCGGCAGCATTGACGCTGCGGGCGCGTTTTCATCAGTGTGATCCTTGGTCCACGTCCGTGGGCCTCCCCGTAGGAAATGTTTCCTCCTGTCGACGATGAGGGCATTTGCAAGAGGCGGTGGTTCGCCCGTTCCCCAGACGTCCCCGCAGGCTGCCTAGGAGGAGTAGAAGTGGCAGAGCACTGTGAGCGATACCAAGAGGAACCCGCAGACGTTGGGCACTTTTCTCCAGTGGGATATCTCTGGCATGTCTCGGAGCTTTGTTCCTTCCAGCATGTCGCGCTTCTCTGTCCCTTCAGAAGTGGCACTGTGCTGTGTCCCTTCCGTGTCACCACACTCCATCTTCTGCACGACTGCCTCTTCCGGGGCGGGTCTGGGGCCTGGCAGTGGCTCCAGTCCGCAGAACACATCCCAGGCCTTCCAAAGGCAGCTCCTGGCCTCCTCAAATATGTCTGGAACAGAGGGAATAGGCACAGGTCAGGAGGCTAAGAGGCCACACACAGGAGGGGGTCTTTCTAGGGCTCACATCTCAGCGGTGAGGCCGGCAGGAAGCCCAACAGACTGGCTCTGACGTGGAGAGCAACCCTCAGCCGCTGCTGCAGAGCACCGCCCACCGCCCACCGCCCGCAGAGACACGGAGCGGGGACTTGGGGTGTGGCCTGGGCCATGCTTGCTTGCACTGGCAGAGCCTTCAGCCGGCCCAGAACCCCGGCCGTCACGGGGCAGGCCCTCCCCGCTGGGCGCTGGAGGGCCCACCCCTCCCGTCTCTGGCACACGCCCAGCACAGCTCTGTAGGTCTAGGGCAAGTGGCTGCTCCTCTGAGGATGGAAAAAGCCCCAATTGCTCTGCTCTCCTCAGCAACCTTGGGGCGTGTCTTCTCCAGGTAGGTACCAGTCTCACAACCTGGCCCAAAGGAAGGCCCTCTGGGCCCTTGAAAGGGGAATCACTGGTGTTTTCTCCAGGAACGGGGGAAGTCTAGGAATTATGGGCAAGTTTCTATTCACAGCTCTGGACCAAATCAGTGAAATGTCTCACTCTGGGGCTTAAATATCCCTCCGGTGTCTGGTAGTGCAGCCCACGCTGGCCGCTCCCAGGCCTGCTCAGGCGCGGGTCAGCACCACGGCCAGCTCCGCACACACGTGAGCCCAGCCAGTCTGGGAACGGATCCCTCTTTGATGATAAGACAAGCACACCTCAGTCCGAGAAGTGTGCGCTGTGACCTGTTCCATGTCTCATCCCCTTGGGCAGCCACCACGCCAGCTGTGTGTCCTGAGGCTGGGGCAGCACCAGGGATGGCGGAACCCGTCAGCCAGTGACGGAGGGGCCTGTGTTACAGGGGAGGTGCTGCCGCCAGAGCACCCCAGAGACGCAGATACCTGCTGCGGTGCTGAAAGGTCCTGAGCGGCACATGCTGGTCCTGTCTCTCGGTCTCTCAGATGTCTGGGTCAGCACACCATCATGCAGCTGCCAGGCCCAAAAATGTTGCTGTATATCAATGGCGACTGATCATGTAAACACAGCCCAAGAGCTGTATGACGGGAGATGGGACAGACCAGTGGCCAAGAGCACATGCTTTGGAGTCAGACTGCCTGTGTTCAAATCCCAGCTCCACCACTGCCTGGTTATCTTTGTAGTCCAGGGCCGACTACTCAAATGTTTGGTGCCTCAGTCCCCCCATCTCTGAAATGGGGATGATAATTGTACCTGTCACACATAGGCATACTTTCCACAGTGCTTGGCACATCCCAAATGGGCAAAAAGTGTGAGCCACTGTCATCATGGCATCCACCGACGATTGTGGACGAGGGAGAAGAGGAGCTCGGAGGTGCCCCCAGAACAAGCCCCCGGCACATGTGGCCCCCAACGGGCAGTTCCTCTGTCCCTGAGGGAGAGCAATCCTGGGAGCCCTGTACCCTCCAGGGTCGCGGGGCAGCCTGGCTCAGGAGAGGCCACTCCCCTGCCCTGCAGGTGTCGGGAGAGGGTCCCAGGCCCCTCTAGGCTCTGAACGTTCCTGGCAGGAGTGGAGAGGGGGCCCCAGAACACTGCCTCTCCCCAGGCAGGCCTTCCCTCCCTCCCTCCTCCAAACTCACAGTCCCCCCAGACTCTCTGCCCCAGACTCAGCGCTAATCTTGTTAGGCCTTTATCCCTGTTTGCATCAGGGCCTCAGGAGGTGCAGGTCACCCTCCCTGGGGCCCCCGCACTCCGCCTCTGACCCCATCTGCTGAGAGCTTTCCTCTGGGCCTTCTGGGGCCCCCAGGCCCGAGCCTCTCCCGGAACTCTCTCTTCTTGCCCCAGTGAAATCGGCTGTCCTTGGCGGTGTCCCCCGGCGCCCTCTTGGGTGGGGCTGCTCCCTCCCCCTTGCAGAGGCTCCCGCCCACTTCCCAGAACCCCTGTGGGTCTGAATCCCTGTGTGAGACTCTGTGGCCTGCTGTCCCCGGTGCCTCCTCCCCTCCTGCTGAGGCACAATGTGATCTGTGCGGCTCGGTGGGTCCCTCCCACCCCAGCTTAAACGCTCCTAGATCACCAGACACTTGTGTTTCTCTGCCCCTCACGGACCCTTCCCTCCTCCCCCGGCACCCGCTGACGTCTCCCATCTGGATCTCTCTGGCCCGGACAGCCACACGGATGGCCGAGGGGCATCTCACCCTCGACAAACACCCACAAGGCATCTTTGGGAAAATGAAAGATGGAGCCTCTGCCTGGAAGCACTTCTGGGAGTGGAGACAGCGGGGGTGGGGGCAAGGAGCAGCACAGGCCTCTCCGCTGGCTTTGGGTCTCCCTTCTCACCTGGCCGTGCCTGCGGTGCGGGGCTCTTCCCTTGTGTGTCTTTGTCCAGATCGACCCTTTCCTCTTGGCTGTTCCATAAACTCCAACAGAGGCGGCGTAGCTGGGGGGAGAGCAGGCGCATGTCACCACCCAGGGCCATGTCATGCAGGCCTTATGGTGCCACGGCTCACAGCTGGGCACCAGGGTCTCGAGGGACTGAAAAGGGTCGTTAGACTCCAACAAGGGACAGAAGGAACATGGGGTGGGGAAAGCAAGGCGCCTGGGAACCCTGGATTTCAGTGCTGGCTCTGGTCCTGCGTGGTTGTGCGGCTGCCCAAAGGTGACCTCGGTGTCTTGGGCTGGATGGTAGGGTAGGAGGCAACACACTCAAGGCTTCTTCCAGTAACTGAGGGTCTAGGAAGCTGTGCCCTTCAGGGTGGGAGAAGCTGCTCATCACTCTGGTCTGCTGCTTCTGGTGGATGGGCCCGCAGGGTAGACCTGGGAACTCTGCTTTCCTTCCAGGAGCCCCTCCTGGCTGTCAGAGATGAGCACTCACGCAGCCCAGAGGAGGCCTGACCTGGTTCACCTGGGGTACCCGGATGACCTGGGCCCTAGCCAGGCTTAGTCGCTCAAGCTCAGCAAGGCATTTGCAGATGCAGAAGGGGAGCACCCCTTCCCTTCTAGTCTGTTATTTTGTTCTCTTCCTGAAAACACATATGGAGACTTTGGGAAGTAAAATCCAGCCAATTGCTGTTGCTTTTTTTTGCTTTTTTTGAGGGTTGGGGTCAGCAGAAGCACAAGTAAGCGAACATTTCCACCAAATCTCTCCCGGAGCAGGTTTTAATCTATTATACCAGCTTCGGTATATTTGAATCTCAGCACCACCACCTCTCCCACTCCCCCAAACATAGCAGGGATGTGACTGAGCAGCCCCTCCAAGCCCCGCCTCTCGGACTAAGACATCAGTAATGAACCTGCTGCCGTGTCAGTGACAGAGACTGGGTTTAGCCTTGAGTTGCTTCCTGGTGATGCTGTACGTCTGCATTTGCCTTCCCAATTACACGACGAGCCCTGTGGACCAGGCCGCTGGGCAGGAAGAACATGGGATTGAGTGTGGTCCCGCTTCCCCTGGTAGCGCCCAGTGTGCAGCACAGACACTGACCCGAAAGCACGGTTCCCCCTTTGCCTCCCTCCCCTCCTCTCCAGAGCACCTGTGCTGCTGGGCAGGAAAAGCACTCAAGCACGTGGCTGCCTGAGAAGCAGGCAAGACCAAAAAGTTGAGAATACAAGAGCATTAGAAAAGAAGTCAGACAAGTCAACCATTAAGACCCTGAGAGACAGGAGCTTGGGTCCAGCACCCACGGCTTCTCCACGTGCCGGGAGCAGGGCAGGGACGTGTGGTGGGCGAGCTGTCCTGGGCACTTCTGGCCGTCCTCCCCACTTGCTCCGTCCCAATCCCACGGGGCTGTGTGCGAGAGAGGAATGGGTCAGAAGGAACTACTGAGCAGAAAGGTGGCCAGAGGGGAGGCGGCCTTCCAAGTTCTCAGCTCTCACCCAGACCCCAGGGCACACGGGTTTCACAGACCCGCCTCCCTTCTGAGCTCCTCCTGCCCTCACCTCTGACACCTAGGACCCTCCCTGCTGCTCTTTGGCTCAGCCAAGCCCCTGTCCTGCTAAGCCTCCTGGCCATGCCCATGTGGGTGACGTGATGGAGTCTGGTCAGGCCCAGTCCTGCTGCTGGCTAGTTTTGGTGTCATGGACAAGTGACTTGACTTCTCTGAGCCCAGGCTTTTTATATTCCAACTGGGGTGACTGACACCTGCCTCCTGGGAGGGGGGAAGTGGCCGGGAAAGGAGAATGAGGTGTGCCCAGCCACCAGCCACAGCACTGCCAGCATTACTGTCCCCCCTCCTGCTGGCTTAATACCTTCTGGGTGGGTGGCAGCTGGGACTGCCCTGATTACATTAATTCACGCTGAGGTTAGCAACCTTAGCACTTCAAGGAAATTTTGTATTTTAAAAACCAAACTTCTCATTCTCAGTGAATATGTAATTAGAGGACTGTTGGAAAGCTTTTTAGTTTAGTTTTTAAGGCAAGGAGGTTATTTGCCTATTTCTGACCCAACCGTCACCCCCCAACCCCCAGCCCCTGCCCCCCACCCCCCCACCCCGCTTTCAAAAAGAATGCAGGAATTCAGCCACTTTTCTCCAAAGCTGGCAGAGCCAACTTGTGGTTCACAGGGACACTGGGACTGTGGTGGACCCCTGAGCATCCTCATGGCAGCACTCACATGTTTATCTGGAATCGGGTCTGTGAACAAGGAGATCCCCAGGACGGTGAAAAGACTGATGGTGGAGAGGATGACGGCAAGTAGAGGTAGTGCACGCCACAGATGATCCGAGGGCACCTGCTGTTTGTCGAGCAGCTCCAGGCCCCGTAGGCAAACTTGGACACCATGCGGCAGAAGCCAATCAGAAGTCCACCAGTCAGCCTCCAGAAGGCACCCTGCCAAAGAAGGAGCCCCGAGAGTCACCTGGGAGGAAGACGGGGAATGAGACAAGCCATCCTCAGCCTCGCCTCCTGACCAGTCTAAACTGGTCAGCTAAACTCAGCATAACAAGGGCTTCACATGCCTTGCAGAAGCAGAGTCTTAGCACTGCGAGGAGATGACACCTTCTTGGGCTGAACACAGACCGAAGACGCATGGACACTCTCTTAGGTCAATCAGAGAACTTAGGAAATACTGGAGACAGTTTTAAGTTAGACGGTGAAGACACATCTCAAACATAATGTGTCCAAAGAGACCTCAGTCTTGCCTGTTGCTGTAGGGGCACCTCCATCGCCCTGGCAGCTCAGGCAGAAACCGCAGGAGACATCCCTGGCCCCTTTCCTTCCATTCTGCCCTACCACCAATCCATCAGCAAATCGTCCCATCGTCTCCACAGCGACCACCTCAATCCCGACCTACCACCTTCTCTCACACAGGTGGAATCCATACCTGGTCTCCTGCTCACCCGCTGTCCAAGAAGCCGGAGTGATCTCTTCAAAGCATGGATTAGGGAGTGCCCTGACTCTGCTGAAGACCACCGTGGCTTCTCATGGCTGCCCTCAGAAGCAAGTCTCATCTGCTCGAGCTGACCTCACCTGGCTCCGCCCTCTCCCCTGGTCAGTCTACTCTAGCCACTAAGCATGGCCTCTTCCTGCATGTCAGGCCTGCCCACTGTGCTCTCAGCCAGGCCCTTGTACTTGCCCTTCTTTCTGCTTGGCTCTCTATCTAGATCTTGGTGTTTCTGGCTCATCCTCCAGGATTCAGGTTCGAGGTCACTTTCTTAGGAGAAATCTTCTCCCACTACCTTGGCTAATGTCCTTGTGCTCCCCCTGCCCCCAGCACCTACCCTGCTAACCTCCATGATCCTTTTTGACTTTTAAACAGCACTACACCACTCTCAGAAATCTTATCTGCTCATTGGGTATCATCCGTCTCCTCCAACTGGACAGTCCACTCTTTAAGAGTGAGGACTTCATCTTGGTCCTAAAGCTGCATCTGGAGCCTGTCTCAGGTGTGGCTGAATGTTGGAGGAGGTAGAGGAGACAGTATGTGGGAAGCATTTTGGAGAAAGAGCTGAAACCAAAGGCCAGGTGTGGTCCACAGGACCCATTTATTGAAGGAGGCGTGCATAAAAGGGAAGATCTAGAAACAGATGGGCAGCAGAAGCCAGATGAGGGTGGGAGAGAAGGCCTGGAGAAGTTCTCTAGGTCAAGGAAGGTAGCCACAATACGCTGTAACCTTGGACCAGGGGTAGCTGGAGAGCCACGGACAAGATCCCCAGTTTCCCTTGGTGATAGGCCCCAGTACTGCAAGGGTGGTGACCATCGCCGGTAGGAGGCAGGTTCTCCTGACTGCCTGCTCCTCTGCCCCTGCCCTTCCCAAGAGAGCACAGAGAAGAGCATCTCCAGAGCCCAGCAGCCCCCCACCCCATTCTCGGTGCTCAATTGAGTCCTGGCGAGCTAGGCAGAGAAAGAAGCACTAGCAGATTTGTCTGGAGGATTGAACACCTGACATGGGCCTGCAGAAAGCACCAGCCAGATGGAGGTGGACAAAGATATTCATGGCAAAGCAAAGAGTCCACAGGAATGAAGAGGGGCCAGAAAAGGCATGAGACAGGCAATCAGCACTGCAAGTGGTTAGCAGTAGCTGGGGCCTAGGGACTGTGTATGGAGAGGGCCAGGGCTGAGAGGCAGGCAGGAGCCAGGTCACAGAGGCACCATGCTCGGGAACTCATGCAAGGCCCAGCTGCTCAGTGCTGTTAGGAGAAACAGGTCAAGATGTGACTCAAATAATGAATGAAAATATTCTGGCAAACTGTGCTTTCAGTCTTACTGATGAAATGATCAAACCATTAATTGGGATCTTTATTTAGTTTTAAGTGTGGCTGGAGGAGATGGTCTTCATGCAGGGAAGGCGGTAGGAGCTCATGACTGAACATCCCCCTGTGAGTTTGAAACCTCTGAGCAGGAAACATCCATGCACAGAGGCAACAGAAGAATATCTTCCTGTGGCTAGATGAGCATGCAGGAGGATCCCACACATTTTGCACCATCTATGGCACCGTCGAAAGTGGATTACATTGCAAAGGGTAGAAAACAAATCAGAGCTTGCCTTTCCCCTGCAAGCATGAGGGAGCTCGGACCAAAGCTGCCCAGGAGTAAATCATCTCTCAGAAAGCAAATGATGCAACGGTGTCAACCCCTGAAGCACAAGAGACCCTCTCAGAGCAACTTTTGCAAAGATAGGTATGATGTGAAGGCAAGCCCTCACACTGTGCCATGCCGTGGCCATGCCAACTCCCACCTACCTGCTCAGTGATTCTCTTGCAAAATATGGTAAGCAGGAAGATGGCAGCAATGGGCGGCATCAGGTAACTTAAAACTGCTTGCATGTATTCAAATAGTTGTTCCCTGTGTGCCACTTGTATAGCAGGGACCCATGCAATGGAGACAGCAAGTAAGATTATAACAAAAAACCTGTAAGTTAAACCAAAAGTCAACGGCAGTTTTATGAGTTTTTTACCTGCCAATAAAATATCTACAAACTGTAAACTATTAGCTAGTTTTAATCATTCCTTAGGTTAAATTCAAGTGCCCATTCATAAGTGTGGCAGAGGAGATAGCCATACCCCTAAACATTAATAGGACCATAGGGCTGCAGGCAAAAACCCTTCAGCTTCTGGACAAATAAAACTGAGGGTCCATTTGCCTGTTACTGGATCATGGGTAGATTTTCATCACATTTGGAGACTGTGTTGGGATGGTCGTGCTTAAAATACATAATACCTGGGGCTTCCCTGGTGGCACAGTGGTTAAGAATCCACCTGCCAATGCAGGGGACACGGGTTCGTGCCCCGGTCTGGGAACATCCCACATGCCACAGAGTGGCTAGGCCTGTGAGCCACAACTACTGAGCCTGCGCGTCTGGAGCCTATGCTCTGCAACGGGAGAGGCCATGACAGTGAGAGGCCCGCACATCACGATAAAAAAAAAAAAGAAAAAAAAATAATACCTGGAAAATATTAATTTCTTCAGGGGTAACACATTTCTAAAGATTTCAGATGGATTAGTATGGCACCTGATTTTAAAGATTTGTGTAAACTCCCTTTAAACCCTTGGTTGTGCATGTGGGGAAGAATTGCCAGATAGTCCACCAACAAGCAACTTCTGGAAGGCAGAAAAAGCTAAGCAAAGATTTCATTGCCTGCTTATAGCAGGGGAGACAGAAATTGGAGTTTGAATCTCATCAAGTTAGAGGGGCCAGGTAAACACCTCAGGCTTTTCACTGAAAACCCCTGAATGTCCATGCCTTAGAAGCAGAGACTATTTCCCAGGACTAAGAACTTGCTATAAGACTAGAGCAAAACTGAAACAGAGTCACCCTAACAAAGTATAAAAACCAGGCCTCCACAACTTTAAGGGGATCAACTAGTAATTTACCTGCATGCTTGAACAAAAACCAATATTCTTCAGAGGAACATGATCCAGAATTTCTATAATGTGTTATCTACAATGTTCAATATATAATAAAATTTTCTAGGCATGTGGAGAAGTAAGAAAATGTAACCCATAGTCAAGAAAAAAGCAATCAATGGAAACTGACACCAAGATGGCTCAGGTATTAAAATTAGGAGACAAGGACTTCAAAGTAACTACTGTAGTTATGTTAAAGGACTTAAAGGAAATTATAGTTATAAGTGAACAGATGCAAAATCATGACAGGAAACTGGATACTAGAAAAAATTTAAAAAGGAACCAAATAGAAATTCCAGAACTGAAATTCTGGTTCAAAATATGAAACAAAAAATTCACAGGTTGGCTTTAACAGTAGATTGGAAATGGCAGGAGAAAGGGGCAATAAACCTAAAGGGAGATTGATAGAACTCTAAACTGAAGAACACAGAGAAAAATTTTTTAAATAAAGAGAGCCTCAATGATCTGTGGAACAATATCAAAAGAGCAAATATGTGTGTAAGTAGAGTCACAAAAAAGAGATGAGGGATGCAGAAGACAAATATGCAGAGAAAGATGGTCAACAATTTCCCATATTTGGTGAAAACCATTAATTTACAGATTCAGAAGTGCAGAAAAGCCCAGTCAGCACACCATAACAAAACTGCTGAAAACCAAAAATGAAGAGAAAATCTTGAAAGCCCAGGAAAAAAGACACATTACATACAGAGAGCAGTACTATGAATTATAGATGACTTCTCATCAGAAACAAGAGGACAGAAGAGAATGGAAGAGCATACTTTAAAGTGGTAAAAGAAAAATACTGTCAACTCAGAATTCTACATCCAGCAAAAGTATCCTTCAAAAATAAAGATGAGGGCTTCCCTGGTGGCGTAGGGGTTAAGAATCTGCCTGCCAACGCAGGTGACACGGGTTCGAGCCCTGGTCTGGGAAGATCTCACATGCCGCGGAGCAACTAAACCCATGTGCCACAACTACTGAGCCTGTGCTCTAGAGCCTGCAAGCCACAATTACTGAGCTCACGTGCCACAACTACTGAAGACTGCGCACCTAGAGCCCGTGCTCCACAACAAGAGAAGCCACCGCAGTGAGAAGCCTGTGTACCTCGCCGCAACTAGAGAAAGCCTGCGTGCAGCAACGAAGACCCAACACATCCCAAAATAAGTAAATTAAATAAATAAAAATTTTAAAAATAAATAAAGATGAAAGAAAAACATTTTCCAATAAACAAAAACTGAGAGAGTCTGTTACTAACAGACCTGCATTACAAGACATACTGAAATTCTTCAGGGTGAAGGGAAATAACACAGATGGAAACTTGCACCTAAAAGAAGGAATGATGAGCACCAAAAGAGTAAAATATAAGATGCTACATATATATTTTTTCTTATTTTATTTTCTTTAAAAGGCAGTTGACTGCTTAAGGCAAAAAATTATATCACTATCACTGTATTCTGGGGTTAATAATGGATGTAGATGTAAAATATATGACAACTATAACATGAATGATGAAAGGGGAAAATGACATATAGCGTTGCAAGGTACTTACATTTTACATAAAATGATACAATATTAATTTTAAGTACACTAAGGTAGGTTAATAATGCCTATTATAATGCCTAGAACAACAAAAAGAAATTAAAATATAAAAACTATTTCCAGCCATATTAATGATTACACTAAATGCAAGTGAACTCAAATTATAAAGACAGAGGTTGTCAGATTAGATTAAAAGAATCAAGATACAACTATATGTGCTCTACAAGGGACTCATTTTAAATATATTTACAGGTTGAAAGTAAAAGATGTTATAAACCCTAAGCATAAGAAAGCTGGTGTGATCTATAACAGTAATGAAGTAAATCTCAAGACGAGAAGTATTATCAGAGATAAAAAGGGACATCTCATAATGATGAAAAAGTTAATTCCTCAGGAAACCATAACAAGCATAAGGGCACCTAATCCCAGAACTTGAATATATAAGAGGTAAAAAAAAAACCTGAAAGAACTATAAGACAGAAACAGACAACTACATAATCATAAATGAAGCTTTTAATACCTCCTCTGTGTATATAATATACACAGTATATATAATATATATAACAGAGGAACTAGACAAAAGTTAAGAATACAAAAGTATCAATAAATTTCAAAAGATTAAAATCTCATAGAGTATGTTTTTGGATCACAGTGGAAGTAAATTAGAAATCAATAACAATAAAATAGTTAGGAAAGTACTAAATACTTGAAAATCCAACAGCACACTTCTAAATAATCTATGAACACAGAAATAAATCACAAGGAAATTAGGAAATATTTTGAACTGATTAAAAATGAAGACACAACATATCAAAATTTGTGGGATGCAGCTAAAGCAGAGCTTAAAGGGAAATTTATAGTTTTAAGTGGTAATTGTAAAAAATAAGACAGGTTTTAAACAAGTGATATGAATTTCCAATTTAAGAAGCTAAAAAAAAAAAAAGAAAAGAAAAGAAGAGTAAATCCAAAGTAAATAGAAAAAAGGAAACAAATAGAATTCAATGGGGGAAAAAACCAGAGGAATCAACAAGCCCCAAAGTTAGTTCTTTGGAAAAATTATTAAAATTGATAAATGCCTAGGCAAGAGAAAAAGAACCCCCTCCACGCCCACATATTACCATTACTAGAGATCCTACAGATACTGAAAGGATAAGGTAAAATTTGGGGAGGTGCTTGGAGCCATGGCAGTGAGGATGCTCCTGAATATTCTGCTCACTGTTACACCAGGAATTGGTGCTCACTGGTACACCGCACTAGGTGGAATACTTTAATTGGGTGATTTAGCTCGAGGAGTCTGATCACCAGTTATCATGGAGCCTGGCAATATGGCTTCTCCTAAGAGCATGCCAAAAGATGCACAGATGATGGCACAAATCCTGACAGATGTGGGGATTACAGAATATGAGCCAAAAGTTATAAATCAGATGTTGGTATTTGCATTCTTATACGTAACACAATTCTACATGATGCAAAAATTTATTAATGACATGCTAAGAAAGCTACTGTTGATGCACATGGTATGTGATTGGCAATCTGGTGTCATGCTGACCACTTTTAAAAAAATAAAAGCTTTATTGTTTCACCTTTTGCATTCAGATACACAGTCCATCTGAAATGGATTTTTGTGTAAAGGGAGTTAGTCAATATTCTTTTTATCAGGAATAGCCAAATTACCCAGTACCGTTCCTTCTCCCCTTACCACCTTCCCCACTGCACTGTACTGTAATCTTTGTCATGAATTAGATGACTGTATACCTGTGCGCCGTTTTTGATATTCTGTTCCATTAATTTGTCTACCCCTGCAATAAAACCACACTGTCTAATTAGTATCACTTCACAATAGATATTGGTATCTGTTAGCATAAATCCTCCAGCTTTGTTCATCTTCAAGAATAGCCTTGGATATTCTCTGCTCTTCGCATTTCTATATTACTTTTAGAACTCGTTTGTCAATTTTTACATGCATACAAAAAAGTTACTGCATTTTGATTGGGATTACTCTGAGTATGTAGAATAATATGGGGAGAACAAACATATCATTATTGAATCTTCTAATTCACAGATATGGTATATTCCTGCTATACTTAGGTCTCATTAATTTCTCTCGACAATGCTTTGTAATTTTCAGCAATTTTCTCATATCTTTTGTGAGATTTATTCCTAGGTATCTGATATGGTTTAATGACACTACAAATGGTAATATGTATAATGTGTAATGTGTAAAATATGATTAATTCTTGTATTTGATCTTTTATCAGTCTTGTTAAATTCACTTTAAAATTTTAGGTTTGTCTATGAAGTCTTTCATGACAATTTAATTTCTTCCCTTTCTATCCTTATGACATTTGTTTCCTTTTTCACCTTTTTGCAGAGTAGCACCTCCAGTACAATGCTGAAGAAAAGTGGCTATAGTGGATGCATGTGTCTAGTTCCCAATCTCAGGGGAAAAGATTTTCAAATATAAA